ACGGAACAATATTCATCCATTTCCAGACCTCCCGAGAGTCCTTTATGATGGGATGGTCTCCAGAACGGTCACACAAAGCCCCCGCAGCAATACATCGGATTTTACCCAAGAGCGCGATGTCCAGCTGGGCCTCTTGGGAGCTCGCGAGGAGATACGGTGTAAGTCCAGACAAAAGCGCACCTTGCACCACAGATATGAATGCTAGCCTCTTCACCTTAAATGGGGCCCCCGAGGTCCACAAATACTTAAAAGACATCCACCCCCTGTTGGCCGCTACTTTACTCAGTGCAAGCTGGTGGGAGAAGGCGCCAGAGGGCAAAAACTGCGGTCCCAAGTACCTGGCGTGCGGGGCCACACGGGCCCCCCCGACCCCCGCCGCATAAAACTGGCGAGTGGCCTTGTATCCACAAAGGCGGGGGACCAAAACTTGTTTCGACGTGTTTTGCTTGTGTCCGTACGCAGCCAGGGCATTGCCGAGCTTAGTCTGGGCGTCGCGCGCTGCGGCGACGGCCTCGGAAAGTGCCCCCTCCTGGAGTAGCAAAAAGTACGCCAGATCGTCCACGTATTTGAAAAGGCCCGCATAGACCTCGCGCCCGAAAACGGGGCACGACGCGCACAGAGCAGGGTCCTGAAACTGGGCGAGCCACTCCTGGAGGGGGCGAGCAAAATCAACTCGAAATTCGTCGGGCGCACTGGGGTCCCCCAGCAAGGCCCCGCTTTGGAGGTGGAGGGCGGTGGGTCGATCTACGCCCTCGAGGTGAAGAAGGTGCGTGGTGCGCCTGTCGCTGAGCAGGTCAACATCCCTTGCTGGCAAATACTCTAAAAGTCCTTGGGTCATGCGCTTGTGCTCGCAACAACCGAAAGCGTTCTTCATGTCATCGAAAACAGCAATGTGCCACACGCGTGCGCTACGCAAACGATCCGCCAAGATGTGCGTGCCCAAAATAGCATTCTCTCGCCTGCGTCGAGGGATGCATCCGTGGTCATACTCGGCAGGCGCAGCGCGTGGGACCGCCCTATAGATACCCCTGGCGATCGCTCTAAAGAAGGGGCAGAGGCCGTGCAGAAACCGAGCGCCGCCGTCTGGTTTGGGAGTCTGCCATCCGAGAGAGAACCCCGCACACGTAGGAAACCTCCCCACCGCCCGCCAACACGTGGCCAGACTTCCCAAACCTATATTGATGGCCTCTACCTCAGGGGGCTCGGGCTTTCCGCCAACTCCGAAGGGAGAAATACGTGGCTTACTATATACTTGGGCAGGAGGAGCATAAGCCAAATCTCGCCAGGAAGAGACCAGGCAGGGGCGGAACGTCTGCGCGAAGCCTTGCGGAGCACCCACGAAGCTCCACGAAGGTCTCTGGCTCCCAACTCCCCCGCCGAGTCCCGCTCACCCATCCCTTGAGGAGCCAAAGAAGCCCGCGACAGTAAACAATTGTCTAACTGGACTGGGACCGCAGAGAGACCGCCCTCCGAACCAGGAAGGCCCAGGGTGCCCGCGAGCTCATCAGCCGATGCAACGTGCCTGCGCACCGCCGCGTAGCTACGCCGTTTGGGCCCCAGTCCAGTGCCCGCCAATCTACGAGAGAAGTATTGCACGCTGGCGAGATCACGCTTGCGCCAGGCCTCGTGTATGCCTTCAGTCCAGGTCCTGCGCAGCGATTGCGTCCACCGTCGGACCTCCCACCTGATGCGATTCGCGAGGTCGCGGATCTGAAAATCGTAGTGGCAGTGGGGGAGGCCCATGGCGCGCAGCGCAGCACGCCCACGGAGAAGGCGACGTACCTGGAGACGGTGTTGCGCCAGCTCGGTGCCTGGGGTCCGCCTGGCCCCGTCGAAGTGCTTCTTGGCGATCGGCGCCAGCGCGTCCATGAAAGAAGCGTAGCCCGCGTCGATCATGTTGTTCTCGAAGTACCCCAGGTACGAGGGCGCCGCGCGCTGCAGGGCCAGGTTGGCCTCTTCCAGGAACCCCTCACGCAGGCCAGGCGTCTGCAGCGCGGTCTCGACGGCATCGAAGTTCCAGGAAGCCGAGATCTGCGAAGACCGCAAGCTCGGGACGCCCAGGTCCGCCTCCAGGAGTACAGGGGAGTGGTCTCGCAGTATCCCTTTGGAGGGGTAGAGCTGGAGCTGCCTGGCCGCCTTAGTCATGGTGATCAGCTTTGACACTCGCGGCAGGGCTCCAGCAGGCAGGGCGAAGTGGTCGATCCAGGTAGACGACTTCTCGCCATTGTACGTAGGAGCAATCTGGTAGAAGGTGGTTGCGCAAGCAAAATGGTGTCGGTGCAGCACTTCACGGAGCCCTCGAGCCGCGTAGCCCATGCGAGCCTGCACGTAGGGCCCGATGCAACTGAAAGAGCAGCTGGTCTCGTCCACCGCGAACGAGTCATTCAGGTCCGTGAAGATGATTGGGGTGGAGCGCTCGGGGGTGGTGTCCAGCAGTCCGTTCAGCCACTCGAGGAGCACGTCGACCGTGCGCCGCCAGGTGGCCGTCCCCGAGCGCGGGCCAGGCGGCGGGAAGTAGAGCGCGATAGCAGTGACATCAAGCGAACCAGTGACCACGCGCACCATCCCAGCTCGGCCCAGCGCGGCGGCAGGCCCAGGCAGCACGCGGTGCACGCGCAGCCCCAGGTCTCGGCGTCGTACTCCGATGGTGACTCCCGCAGCTCTGTTGGTGAAGGGACCTCTGCCGTAGCCGAAGTGGTAGTAGTCGTGATCTCCGATTTGCGCCTGCCGTCGCACCGCCTCCGTCGGCACCGCCCGCAGGCGGGTGCCCAGCAAGAAGTGGAAAGGGAAGCCACGCGCCAGGAGCGCGATCTCGTCCAGCCTCCTCGGCTGGATCAGGCTGCACACATTGAACCCAAAAAACTTCCAGCGCATGATGGTACCCTGGGGAGTTCGATAGGGCGGTGCAGGGCCCCTCCTGAACTAAAGTGTGTCGCTGAGATGTTCAAGGCGGGGACCCCCTGCATGGGCCCACTGAATCGCGGCTCGACACAGAATGGGGCTGCGACATCGAGGGGGTCATGGGGAGGAAGCAAGAGGCGGGGGACAAGAAGTGATAACACAGCCCTATCAGCTACTGCTCCTCCCTCCCGTCTTCCCTTGGTTCTCCCTTTCTGTTCCTCCTGACTCTCCGCTATCGTCATCCCCTGACTCCTACCTCCGGCTTTTCGTGGTCCATTGGTTTCGTCTATCCTTCTCCTTCCCGAGCGTCCTGCCCCTCCGCGGATCTGGGCCATCCCGGGCCATCCCTGGCAACGCTGTCCTGGGCCTGCAAGAAACTCCCAGGAGGGCTTCAAGATGGCTCAGGACGCCCTCGAGAGAACCGACGAGGGCGACAAGGCTTCCAACGACGATCCCTGATGGACCTGGACGTCAAGATCACGGAGAGGCCCACAAAAGCCACCGCGACAGGCTCAAACAGGGTCTCCAAGGAGCCCCCAAAGTGGTGCCAAGGGAGCTCCCACAGCGCCCCCCGAGCCCCAAAAATTCAACACACATTTAACACAACACCGTCCTTGCCGAGGAAGCGCTTTGTGTCAGATTTGTGTTCAAGTTAAGGGCCCTCTTGGGGCCGTCTCAGAGCTCTCTTGGGGTGTCTTGGGCGCTTCTAGGGCCATCTAGAGCTCCTTTCAGGCCGTCTTGGGACCCTCGTGGGGCCTTCTTGAGCCGCCTCGGGGAGGTCTTAGGGGCCTCTTGAGACGTCATGGAGAGCTGGAAGCTCGAAAAGTCGACCTTCGAACATACAAAACAAAAATCGTTCGTTTGTGCCTTCTGCGGCCATCTGGGGAGCGCTCATCGAGTGCCCTAGGGCTGCCTGGGGGCATCTTGGACGGAAGACTCGAGGCATCGCTTCGGGCTCCTGCGCTGGGGCCCCTCTTGGGACCGTCTTAGGGCGCCTTGGGCGCGTCTAGGGCCGCTCAAGGCCCTCTTGGGCCGTCTTCGGGCGCCCTCGGGGGCTTCTTGGCGGTCCGTCTCGGGACGGTCTTGGGGCTTTCTGGGATGTCGTGGAGCGCTGGAAGCCGGACAACATCCAGGGGCCCCCAAGCAACTTTGAAAATCAATGGTTTGGCCTCTCGGGGCCCTCTGGGGAGCGCTCGGCGAGCCCTCGTGGGCCATATGGGGGCATCTTGGGATGGAAGGCTCGAATTGTTCTTTCGGGCTCCTGCTCGTGGGGCCCTCTTGGGGCCGTCTTCGGGCACTCTTGGGCCGTCGTGGGCCCCTCTTTGGGCCGTCTTGGGACCCTCTTGGGTCGTCTTGGGGCGGTCTTCGGGGTCGCTTGGACCGTCTCGGGGCGGTCTTGGAGGCCTCGTGGGACGTCGTGGAGCGTCGGAAGCTCGAAAGTCGAGAACCCCGAACACATCGACAACCTATCGACAACCTACGATCTTGGGGCCCTCTGGGGAGCGAAAATCGAATCCTCCTCGGCCGTCTTGAAGCTATCTAGGGTTACCCGGAAGCCCCGCGGGACATTATGAAGCCTTCTGGTGTCTCTGTGGCACCACTTAAGGCCGTCTGGGAGGCTGAGAGGTCGCTGGAGAGGGTCCCCGGGAGCCCTGAGCCACCATGGCGACCCGAGGCACCTGGGAGAAGGCCCCAGGCCCTGTACCCATATATATATATATAGATATAGAGATATATAGATATAGAGATATATAGATATGTAAATAATGTAGGTATAGCTAGTCACGCACTGTTAGGGGTTCACGCTGGCTAACACATGTATATCTGTACATACACACATGTATGTATGTATGTATGTATGTATGTATGTATGTATGTTTGTATGTATGTATGTATGTATGTATGTATGTATGTGTGTATGTGTGTATGTATGTATGTATATATATATGTGTGTTTAAGTTTACACGTGCACATGCAACGTGTCCTTCGCTGGACACCCTCCTCACAGAAGCCCAGGGCCCCACCGAGGTGGCACAGGTCAGCAAAGAGACCCAGTCCTCTACACACGCAGATATCATTATAATTCTTCCTCGCGCCACGTCCTTCGCATGCGCCACACCCTCTCGTGTCCCGAAAACATTGATCATCGCCGTACCTGGCTCCACGTTTTGCTGGTCGATATCGACGCGCGTGTTGGAACGGTTTGTCACGTCCTGGACCACCTTGCCCTTCGGACCCTTTACCCAACCTACGTAGCTGGCGTCGATCTTGATCTGGATGGCAGTGCCAAGGTTGCTGCAGTCCACCCCGCTGTTCGGCTGCGTGGCGACCTTCATGATTTCCGCAACGATCATACAATAAGCCTTCTTCTTCCCCTCCACCTCCCCGTGGAGGTGCACAGTGCACTGGCCGGTCTCCCTGGTCGACTGGTCGACGTCGACAACTGCGCCGCTGCGATTCTGAATCTCCTGGATCATGGCGCCCTGCCGGCCCTTCAGCCAGCCGACGGCCATGGTCGGCACGACGACTGAGTCATAGAAGGACTCGCCCCCGCCTCTGCTGCCCACCCGGGCGCCTCCGATCGAGACCACGGGCCTGCGCTGGAGCTGCTGCTGCTGCTGCTGCTGGCCGCCCGCCAGGCTCTGCAGGGCCCCCGATAGGAGGCCCACGACGTCGCTGCCGCCGCCGCCGCCTACGACGGGGACCGCTACCGTCGGTAACGTTTGCTCAGCGTGTCGCGGCGGCGACCCCAGTGACACCTTTCCCGCCGCAGCACGGCAGAGGCAATCCGCTCGCGCGCTCGAGTTGCCGGGGGCGTTCGGCAGACGATCTTGCCCGGCTGCAAGAGGAAGACAGGGCAGAGGGGAGCGATCGCGGAGAACAGCCCTGGCGACACGTCACGCCGTGTTAAGCTGGTAGCACGTCGCTCCGCTCCTCGGGGGCGTCCAAGAAGGGGGCGTCCAAGAGGGGGGGGGCGGGCGCAAGCCATGGCTGGCGGCATGTGCGCGGCCCAGGTGGGGGGGGGGCTGGGGACGCATTGAAATGATAAGAGGCGCCATGAAATCTGGGGAGATATCGTGGCCCCTCGCCAGGATATCCCCCCCCCCCCCACTGGTCATCACCCCTCTCTTGGCCGCCCCCAACCTTGGCAACGCTCGGGGCGTTGGCGCGCGGAGGCCAAGCGACGGGCGGCGCGCACGCGGATGGCAGAAGTTCTCCCAAGCGCAGGGGGCGGCGAGCCGAGGGAGGGACGCTTCGTCGACCTGGAATCGGCGAGAGGGTACGGGCGCGGTCGCAAGAGACCCTCGCGAGAAACCCAGCCCTGAAAACCCGCGCGCGAGGTGCTCCTGTCGGGTCGGGCGAAAGGGGGGGATAGCAAAGGGGGGGTTTGAGAATCAGCTCCGTAGCTGACTTTCCCGGCGCCGGAGGCGGCTATGTATCGAGGAATGGGCCCCTCGGTGAGGCCGAAACCAGCTGCATGCAGCAAATTTCGTAACCCCCCCTTTCCCAATCCCCCCCTTTCGCCCGACCCGATCCTGAAGGGAAACCTGCAGCACCCTGAACGCACCAGCTGCTTTGACGGCCGCGGAGAAGTCACCGTGCAGCGCGCGGAGCGAAGAAGCCAAGGGTACGCTGACGAAAAGCAGACGGTTTCTTGACGCGCGCCCCCACTGCACCCAGACGCCGTCGGGCCATGACAAAAAACGCGACGGGAGGTTTTTTCGCGATTCCCGGCCTCTGGGGGCCCTCACCCCACCGGGTCTCGGGACCGTCAACAAAAACCGACTGAGGATGAAAATTGACCTAGGGAGGAGGTCCAGACCTCCGCGGCCCACGCATCGAAACAATTGGAGCGACTGGATCTCTGGGGCTGGAATCGGCGATACATCGCCGACAGATCAGCGACGTGCCCGGGATAGCAGATCAGCACGCTCCTGGGCGGGGTGGGCTGTCAGGCCCCATCGGCGATGCAAGGGCATTTGGGGGTCGAGGTATCCCCCAGCAGAGCCCATTCCCCTCCCTGCCCCCCCCCCCTTACATTGCCCGTGCGCCTAGGGTGGCCGCAAGCAGAGCGGTGACGGCGCTCAGCGCGGCCGCGCCGCCAGCATTCGCGGAGCCTCCGGCTGGCGCCAGCGCTGCGGAGAGCTCCTGCGGGGAAGCGCGCGCGATCTCGTTCTGCAAGTTCTGGATCGCCGCCTGGACGTCGCCTGTGCCGTCGTGGCGGGCGCGCTTGGCCGGGTGGCCGTAAGCCTCGAAGCCGCCGCGCCTCGCCATGGCCGGCGGGGGCGCGGTGCCCCCCCCCGGGGGGGGCCGCGGCCGCCCCGCTGACGGCAGCACCGCGTGAGGCGATTGGCAAAACTTCGAACGCGTTGGGAAGGGTCGAACTTCGGCTCGAAACAGGATTGGATTTTCTGTCTCAGCGCCTCGTGTTTGGAGAGGAAGAAAGCGGGGACCATGACCAAGACCGAACGTGGACACGTCGTGTCGATCAGGGCCACCGTCGATCTTGGTCAACGTGGATTCGTGGATCATCCTCGCGAATCGGCGACGGGCGACATGGACTATGACCAAGATCGGTATCGACAAGATGGTATCTTCCCTCGAGTGTTGGTGACGGCGTCAGTCACCTTTCAGGAGGGAGCATCCCCTCCTCCTCCTCCTCCTCCTCGTCCTCGTCCTCCTCCTCCCCCTCCTCCTTCTCCTCCTTCTCCTCCTCCTCCAGGATGGTCTCTTCCCTCGAGTGTTGGTGACGGCTTCAGGCACCTTCGGGAGAGCGCAGGGGAGCGGGCAGGGCGGCTTCAGTCACCTTCAGGAGAGCGAGCCACTGCACTTCTCCAAGAGCCTGGCTGCCGAGCGCACGCGGCTTCCCCTGGGCCTGCCAGGCCTGACACCCTGGATCGGATGCTGCCTCCTCCTCCTGCTACTCCTCCAGCTCCTCCTCCTCATCGTCACCATCATGATCATAATCATCGTCACTATCAGAATCATCATCATCATCATCATCAGCATCATCATCATCATCATCATCAGCATCATCAACATCATCATCATCATCATCATCATCATCATCATCATCATCATCATCATCATCATCATCATCATCATCATCATCATCATCATCATTATCATCATCATCATCATCATCATCATCATCATCATCATCATCATCATCGTCATCGTCATCAACATCAGCACCAACATCGTCATCGACATCATCATCAGCATCATCACCATCATAAACAACATCATCGGCATACTGATCACCGTCACCATCACCATCATCATCACCATCAACATCATCATCACCATCACCATCACCATCACCATCAACCTCACCATCACCACCACCACCACCACCATCATCATTATTACTCATCATCACCCGTCAGAATCACCACCAGCACAATCATCATCACCATCACCATCATCATCGTCACCACCATCAACATCACCATCATCACCACAATCAGCCTTACTATCACCACCACCATCATCATCACCACAAACGTTTCATCACCATCATCATCACCATCGTCATTATAACCACCATCATCATCATGAGCATCATCACCATCGTCAGCACCAACACACTAACCAGAATCACCAGAACAATCCTTATCGTCATCATCATCGGCATTATAAGCATCATCCTAATCCTCCTCCTCAACACCACCACACCATCATCCTAAACATCAGAATCATGGTCATATTCATCATTGTGGTCATCCTCATCACCAGAAGCATGACCATCCTCATCATCATCGTCGTCGTCGTGGTCGTGGTCGTGGTTGTCGTACCACCATCACCATCACAATCACCATTATCATCAGTATCATCATCATAATCATCATCACCATCACAACCATCATCACCATCATCAGCAGCATCATTATCGTTACCCCATCATCATCCGCATAATCTTCATCACCATCATCATCATCACCATCATCATCATCACCATCATCATCATCATCATCATCATCATCATCATCATCATCATCATCATCATCATCATGAGCATCATCACCATCACCATTATCATGACCATCATTATCATCAGTATCATCATCACCATCATCATCGTCATCCTCATACTCATAATCCTGATCATCCTCACCATCCTCATCCTCATCCCCACCATGATCATCGTCACCCTCACCATCATCATCACCACCATCATCACCACCACCATCATCACCACCATCACCATCGCCATCATCCACACTCAAATGCTTTTGAGAACCAGCCCGGCAGTTTGCCCTTCCAGCGACACACGCAAACACACACGCAACCCTCCGCGCGGGCGGCAGCCCGCACTGGCCAGCGCGCGGCGCCACGGCGGACGGAGACGCGGCGAGTGCACAGAGACCCGGCTGACGGAGACGCGGCTGACGGAGCTGGCGCTCACAACGGCGATCGGCGTCGCCGACGTCCCCGACGACCGACGACAACGACGTCCACGTCGACATCGAAGTCCACGACGAAGGCGACGATCGACGACGACCACATCGACGTCAACGCCGACAGCGACGGCGGCGGTCGACGGCGACGGCGACGACGACGTCGAACGGGGGCGGCCCGGCGCAGACGGCGGGCGTCCATGGCCCGGCGCGCAGCGCCGCGGGACGACGGAGGTGCGGCAAGGGCAGCTCGTCACCGGCCGCCGCTGTCGTCGCCGTGCTCGGCGGTCGCCGCCCGTCGCCGCTGCTGTCGTCACGTCACGGCCGTCGTCGCCGGCGTCGCCGCCGTCATCGCCGCCGTCATCGCTGTCATGGTCGCCGTCGCCGGCACGGTCGTCATCCCCGCCGTGGTGACCGCACGCGGCGACGGCGCCGACGACGGCGACGTCGACGGCGGCGGCGGCGATGGCGACGCTTCTTTGGCTGGCCTACCCCTCTGCGCCTGGCAGTCTGCCAGGGCGCTGGGAGCAAACATGGCTGGATCCACGTGGGAACACGCGGCGGCCACGCGCTGGAAACACATGCAGAGCGGGGTCGTGCCCTGCCATAGAGGGGCCGAGCGCTGGAAAGACATACGGCTACTTGTTTGTCGTGACCGTTGTGATATTATGCAAGATGTGGCACCTCATTGCGTTGTTTTGCGGTGTTTCAGAAGGGCCATGCACTGCCCAGATGTGCCACAATGATTTACGAGGTATTTCCTAGTCAAGATGAATTACCATTCATTGCTTCCCAGTGCGCGCATATATCAGGCCTGGAAGCGTGAGACGGAGCGTGGTGCAACTGATCCGATGGACAAACACGTTCAGTGGGTGGCCCTGTCACGCACTGGTGCACGAAAGACGCATGCCCGAACAGGGGAGGAGGGTGGGTGCCCATCCTGTGCATAACTAGCCTATGGTAGCTGGCAGCCCCAGCATGCTCATCGAACGCCCTAGGTTAGCTGTCGGATGATAGCTGTGTAGCCAGAGCTTTCGTTCATGTATAGCCAGAGCTGTCGTTTCACCATCGGTTCAGCTGTAGCTAGACGCCTAGCTTTGCATGGCGCAACCTAGACCAATTTAGCTAGACATTAGTCAGAACGATTTTAGCTGAGTTGACGCTCAGCTTGGCTTGGGGGCAGTCTTGAATTATGGTGCCTGGCCCAGGCTGCGCCTAGGCCTCCGCAGGCTCAGGCAGCACGATGCCCCACAACGACGCCGACTTCGAGAGACCAGATAGCTCCCTGCGACCAGCGTCTCCCCCACCACTGCCCTGGCCACAACACCTCCATCCGCGCCTTCCCTGGCGAGGCCCCGCCTTCCGCGAACACGATGCCCCAGGACTGCACGACTGTTGACACTCGGGAGCGGTCAAGAGGGGGGTGTCCAAGAGGGGGGGTGCAAATCATGACCGGCGGCGTGTGCGCGGCCCAGCGGGGGGCCAGGGACGTAATGAAAGAAGCAGAGTCGCCATGAAATCTGGGAAAATATCATGGCCCACGCCATGATATCCACCCCCCCCTAGTCATCACCCCCCTCTTTTCCGCCCCCGAGACACAGGGGGTGGCACCAACTGACTAGGGCTCCCAACTTCGCGCTTCGCGCTGCGCGAAGCGCGAATAACTTCGCGCTCTCGCGCCGCCCCCCAAGGAGGAGAAGAGGAGGACGAGGAGGAGGGGGAGGAGGAAGGAGGACGGCGAAGCGCGAAGCGCGAATAACTTCGCGCCCTCCTGGGAGCCCTTGAACTGACGACATCGCACATCCTGGCCGGGCCGATCCGAGGCCGAGAAGGCGCCCGCGCAGACCCTGGGCCCGGGATCGGCCCGGCCAGCAGCCGACGAGGGAACAGGAAGGACACACCACGTCTTCGGACAGCAACGAGGGAGCAACGCCAGAGGAGGACCAAACGCCGGAAGCAACCACTGTTATGGCGCTCCGCGCGGATCTCCTGGATCTGCGCTGGGCCCCCTCCCTGGCGCGCGGACCGCGCCAGGGGCGGCGCTGGAGGCGCCGCCACGGGGGCCCCAGCACCGATCGAAGAAATCCGCGCGGAGCGCGCAAAGTGTATGTTTATGCCGAGTATGTTTCTTCTTCTTCTTCTTCGCCGAATGGCGGCGTGTCGTTGGTACTCTTTCCCCTCCCGAGGATGAGGAGGAGGCGAAGGAGGAGGAGGAGGAGGAGGCAGGAGGAGGAGGAGGAAGAGGAGGAGGAGGAGGAGGAGGAGGAGGAGGAGGAGGAGGAGGAGGAGGAGGAGGAGGGATGATGATGATGACGATGATGATGACGATGATGATGGTGATGGTGATGGTGATGATGATGGTGATGGTGATGAGGATGATGATGGTGATGATGATGATGAGCATGATGGTGACGATGATGGTGATGGTCATGATGATAGTGATGATGGTGTTGGTGATGCTGCTGCTGATGATGAGGATGCTGCTGCGGATGATGATGATGATGATGATGATGATGATGATGATGATGATGATGATGATGATGGTGATGATGATGATGATGATGATGATGGTGATGATGATGATGATGCTGATGATGATGATGATGATGATGATGATGATGATGATGGTGGTGGCGATGCTGATGATAATGAGGAGGAGGAGGAGGAGGAGGAGGACGAGGAGGAGGACTCGCCGCGCACCTGCGCCATGACCGCCACTCTTCGCGGTTCGCGGCGCCCTTTTATTCACGCGCTCGCCCCGTGCCGAGGTCCCTGCCAGGCCACGGGCCCCACGGCGCCAGGCGCGCAGCCACCGGAACCCAATCAGCCACAAGAGCGCGCGCCCGCCGGCGCGGCTAGAAGTTAAAGAGAGAGGAGGCGGCCTACATGAAGCCCCCTTGCCCCAGGATGGCGCCCAACTGCTGCACGAGCTGGTTCATGTTGGCCTGCGGCTGGCCCGGGTTCTGCAGCGCCGCCATCTCCTGCTGCTGCTGCGCGCCGC